TAAGCCTGCCCCAGGATTCTGAGCAGTAAGATGCGTGCGGACAGGTTCCAGTGTGCAGAGAAGTGTGAACAGAGGCAGCCACACTCAGGTCAACCTCCCTCAACTGTTCTTGACAACAGAACTTGGTACATGTGCAGAAACGGTGCCAGGAGTCATGTTCCCAACTTGTCTGAAAGTCTGGGTTTTCTTGGGTCCCTGAATTTGCTAAAAATAAGGTACACTCTGGGTCACTGAAGAACCAAAGAGAGGCAGGAAGTGAACTCACACCGTAAGCTGTGCCGGGCCCTTGGTAAAAGAGTTGCCTAGAAATGTCAGAGGTGGGGCGGAAATTTTTATCGTCTCTGGAATATGAAGCTAAGGCCATGCCACCCACATTTGGCTTGTGTACCCACAGGAGGCAGCCACACATCTGCATATCTTACCTGTGGCATGGAGAAATCAGTCACGGTTAGAATGAGGCCCAGAATTGGGGGGGGGGGGGGCCCACAAACTATCGGGTGATGAAATTTCAAGTGCACGTTCCTTCTGTAGCCTCTACCAGGAGGAACATAATAGCACACTTAAGTTGTTCTCTCAGTCCGTGTTTGTAGTGCGCTGCCAGGCATCCTACCAACGCGTGTCAAGTGTAGGTGTTAGAACCCCGTGAAGACACGGTTATACAGGTGTTCCATGTTGCCTCCTGGCTCTTCCCAAGAGCCTAGTTGTGCCCTACAGGTTAGTACTGTCACCCTACAATTTCCAAGAAGTCGACTGAGACCCTGAGTCCCAGATAAGGGATATGGACCAGGGAGGAGTAAGAGGTAGGAAGAGAGTTTTCAACGAACAGAAACTCAACTTTGAGCTCCATTCAGGTTTCTGTTTACTTGCCTTCCCCAACGTCTCTTCTGGGGCTTTCTCAGTCTATGTTCTATCTGCCACAGATAGCTTAAGGCCTCTGGAAATTTGCCTTTTGGTCTGTACCTACAGGGTTGTGGGGTTGGAACGTGAGTTAAAGCCGGAAAGGACCATGTGGTGTGAATGGCCCTGTTGGCTTGGACACAGCTTACAAAACACTTTATAATCTTTTTTATCACAGCTGCTAGCAAGACACAAAGAGTAGAAGGAGTGTTGGGGCATTTGAGCCTTGTTCTTTATCTCCACAGACGCACGGTCAGGAGCTGACTGGAATTCCAGTACGGGGAGCTGGTCTCTGTCTGGTGCTGGGTCCCTTGACTGCTTAGCTGCCTTGAAAGAGCTCTGGCAAGGCCCAGAAATCATCTGCCTCAAGTGCCTGTTATGTTCTTCCTGTCCTAAAGGGGGAGGCTGTACAACTGTGTGATGGTTACCCTCCTACATAAGGACACTGGGCCGCAAAAACAAAAAGGCACACTGGGTATGCTGCATCCGCTATACCTGCTCACACCGTAGCTATCCTACCTGCTTAGGCCCCACCTCTCCCTCCCACCCCAGTTAGAGAGGTCCCAGATGACCCCTAAATGTCTCCTTTGACACACCCATACCAGAGCCTCTGTTTGGAAGTTGCCCTGAAGATTCCTGCAGCCTCTTATCAGTCGAGCAGGCTTAATCTCCACCAGGACGGGCCCCAGGCCAGCAGCTAAGGAAGCTCCAGAATGTAGAACTGCTTGACGTCCAAAACAAAACTGACCGGTGGCTCAGATATGCCATAGAGGTTAAACATCAAACGTCTGACACCCCTTCGGAGTTGGCACATGGTCGATACCATACTGTGCACAGAAAGCCGAGGACTCTGTGTAAAACGGCTGAGTGAAATGTGTCAGAATGTGGCCTGAGCTACCAGCAACACAGACGGACTGACAAAGTCCACATTCTGGCCCCACACAGACCACAAAAGCAGGCAAACTCACTGTAACAGCAACTCTGATAAGAAAAGAAAAAAAATACCACGGACAGAGAAGGTAAATGAGAGGAGGCTGTAGGCCGTGTAGCATCAGAGAAAGTCAGTTCCTTCTTTAAGACTGCCAACTAGCTTGCTCAGAGTAACCTGAGATACACCAGGATTCCCTGCTTTGAACAAGCAGATGAGGTTACATGGAAATAATCCACATTCCACTTCATGCATGCCCTGTCCGCTCTGAACGGATGTCAGGGTCTTGGAAAGGATCCGTGTTTATTTCTGGAAGTATGAGGGATGAGAAAAGCTGGTCCCAACAAGTATGTTCTGGGCTTTCCCAGACCTCGAGATTTCAAGGCCACATCTAGGGCAGTGGGACCTGTGTTCCAGTGGCCTGTGAAGCCAAAGATAGCTCTTTCTTGGTACTCCAGAGCCTCTGGACTGTAGTCAAGCCATCCTCAGTGACTGGAGTCACTGATCCTCATCCACATAGCCCTCAGGAAGGTCACTTGATAACACTGGACGCAGTAAGTCACTGAGCCTAAGGATCATCCTGAACCCAGTGACCAAAGCTTTTCTTACACACCAGCTAGTCCTGCCCAGCAGTGTCTTCCTGCAGCATCCCCAGTTCCCTTGCAAATATAGCCAGTGGCCAGACCCATGAGTCCCCATCCAGACTTAAGCTGAGTTCTCCATTTCAAAAGTAAGTGGATTCTTTTTTCTGTCTTAAAATTTCCCCGTGAGACATTGCATGCACAAAACCCCATGAGACATTGCATGCACAAAACCCTGTGAGACACTGCTTGCACAAAGCCCTGTGAGACATTGCATGCACAAAGCCCTGTGAGACACTGCATGCACAAAGCCCCGTGAGACATTGCATGCACAAATTCCCATGCGATGTTGCATGCACAAAGTCCCATGAGACATCGCATGCACAGAGTCCCATAAGACGTTGCATGCACAAAGCTCAGGCCCTTTCCACCAGGGCAGAAAGTGTGACTCACATCCCTGGCTCATGTCTCTGTTATTATACACTAGGCAGAGGAAGAAATTATTCTAAATCATGCTATCTAAAAACCAATTACTGTAGAGTACATTTTGAGAGAATTTATTGAAGACAAAGAAGATAATACTGATAGGTTTATGCAACTCCACACCACTCTGCCCTTAAAGGAATTAGAGAAATAACCACAGTCACTTGATCTCTGCTAGCGCTCACAGAGATGCTGTAATCCACGGTCTCCCAGATGTACCCTGGCCAGAAATGCCCATGAAGGACTAAAAGAGGCTTTGCTTTGTTTGTTTGTTTTGCTTTTGTTTTTAGCTTGTTTGTTTGAAGACAGGGACTATGTAGCCCACCATTCTTCTGCCTCAGTCTCCTGAATGCTCTAACTATAGGTGTATATCGCTACATCACAGTCTTAAGATAACAATTCTCCTTAGAAGAACTATCTTGTATCTCCAGCACACAACTGTACTTATTGAGATTCGCTGGAAAATGGCTATGATTTTGCAGAACTCATACTGACCCAGGGTGAAGAACCCAGGACTGGATTGGGAGCTTGTGATTGACAGTGGCATTCAGACAGAACTGCCCAGAAGCCAGAGACTAAAAACTACACCCTCGGGTGATGCCAAACATTTACAGTCAATAGAGAAGACACGCCGCAAGGAGAACTGGGCTTTTTCAGATGGCAGCTGCAACTATCAGTCCAACACACCCTGTCCTCTGGATCGGGGGGAGACGTACATTAACTGCCCTGAAAATACTCAGAAGCATGGGTAGCGTCATCCATGACAACAGAGAAACCCAAATAGGAGGCTGTCCGAGCCTGAAGAGAAAGCTTGTTGACTTCGTGGCTGAGGAGAATTTACTTGCTTTGCAGCCAAATGAAGAGTGTGGGTGGGGCCATGTCTAGTTGTCACCTGACAAATGGCATCTGGTGTCCAGACCCATTCAGGGACCCCTGAATCCTAGTCCATCCCCCATAGTCACATCAGGTCTGCTCCCCAAGCTAACATACAGACGTACAAGAGAGTGTCAGCAAGACGTCTCCACGAGTAAAGGTGCTTGCCACTAAATTTGACAACCTGAGGTCAGTCTTCAGAACCCACATAAAGGGAAGTGAGAACCAACTCCCCCAAAGTTGTCCTCAGACCTCCACATGTGCCAGAGCCCAAGCACTGTGGCACACTCGCTATGACACACTTATACATGGACACACAGTTAAAAAAAAAAAAAAAGTTAAAAATATCTTTTTTGGAAACAAAGAGAAA